TCTGCCAGTCCACCCATTTACTCTATTTCTCAGCTTATCCTTTAGAAAAGCAAAGAGCTTACATTTGGACCCACTGATATCCTCTGGTATACCTAAATATGACCCCATTCCTCCTTCATTTTGGATCCCAAGTGTGTCTTTAATCTCTTGTCTCACATCTAGGCCGATTCTTTTACCAAAGAGTAAAGAAAACTTATCAAAATTCATACATTGTACTGAAGCTTGTCCATAAACCTTGACCACTTTCATTACTTCTTCACATTCACGGGGCTCCGCCTTACAGAAAAACAGACTTTCATCAGCAAAGCAAAGATGAGACACCGAAGGACACGCACGCGTGATACGCATCCACGTTATCTTTCCTTGATTCTCTGCGTGATTTAGAAGGCTAACGAGCGCTTCCGTGCAGAATAAAAATGAAAGGGGACAGAGGATCCCCCTGCCGTAGACCTCTCTCCGGGAAAATATTCCCTATTGGCTGTCCATTCATGAGGACCTTGTACTTTACTGAAGTTACGCATCTCATTATCATAGTTATCCAGACTTCAGAAAATTCCATCTTTCTCATGGTTGCCTCAATGAAGGACCATTCCATCCTATCATATGCCTTGCTCATATTTGTTTTGATAGCCATCCTCTTGTTCCGGCCACTCGGTTTTGTTCTTAAAGCGTGGAATAACTCCTGAGCTATCATATGTTGTCAGATATCTGTCTCCTAGCAACAAAGGCTGACTGGGTCTCTGAGATCCTGTCTGGTAAAAACTTCTTTAATCTCTGGCATAAGACCTTAGAGATAATCTTGTAACTAACATTGCATAGACTAATAGGGCGTAACTGACTCATCTGATTTGGCTTGTCCACTTTTGGAATGAGACATATGTTAGTATCATTCAAACTAGACGGCACCGTTCCCTCAAATAGGAATTGATTAACCATAAGAGTTAAATCTCCTTTACAATATCCCAAAATTTCTGATAAATCATCGCCGTCATTACATCTGGTCTTGGAGCTTTCTCTGGATGCATCGCGAAAAGAGCTAATTTAACCTCCCATTCAGAGACCGGAGCTGTTAGAGTCTCATTATCTGATACAGTAATTGTGGTTGATACTTCAGAGAGTGCCTCCTCTATTGCCTCAGGATTTGATGATTGAAAGATTTGTCTAAAGTAGTTTGTAGCAATGGCTACCAATCCTTCCTCATCCTCCACAACATTTCCATCATCATCGAGTAATTGGGTAATCCTATTCCTTGCCCTCCTTTGCTTCGTAAGGACGTGAAAAAACTTAGTATTCCTATCCCCTTCTCTCGGCCAGAAAACCCTACACTTCTGCTTCCAGAACATCTCCTCCGCCTTAAGAGCGTCGGATAGTTCCTTAATAGCTGCCGCAATCTCCTCAGTAGTGGCATCATCATTTGAAGATAACCTATCTACTTTTTCCTTGAGCTCCTCCATTGTTTTCTCTGAATTCAGATTATTCTGCTTTTTCCATTCACTCAATGCTCGTCGGCAACTTGTTATATGCTCCATTATGCTTGCGTCTGGTGGGAGATCCGGTGATTTCCATCCCTCAAGTATAATTTGTCTGAGCTCCTCATTATCCAACTATCTCTTGTCAAATTTGAAGTTTTTTGTTCGCCTAGGTTTCTTCTTAAGAATGTCAGCAAGTATCAGACGATGATCCGATCCCCAGAGTCGCATATATCTCACTTTGGAATGAGGGAATTTTTCATGCTAGTCTTCATTACCAACTGCCCTATCAAGGCGGCATCTAACCGTCGTCCTCCCTGCTCTATTCCCAACCCAAGATAGCATGTTCCCTGTAAAAGGAAACCCCAACATACCACAACCACTTAACATTGGCCTAAAGGGTAAAAAGGAGCTATCTGGGCGTCGTCTGCCTCCTTCCTTCTCTTCATGACAAGTGATTTCATTAAAGTCCCCTATCATAAACCAGGATCCAGTTCTTGCTGTGGAGAAACGCGTAAGACGTTCCCACACTAAATCTCTTCGTTCCAATACAGGATCCCCATAAACAAATGTCATATAGACTTTTATTCCATCAATGACTGCCTCAATGTCAATCATTCTATTATTTGAAAATAAAACATTAACTTGAAATCCAGCCATAAAAAACAAAGCTAAACCTCCGTTGTGGCTAAGTGGCTCAACGGTAAACAACCGATCAAATCCTAACTCGGCCCGAATGTCTTGCAATAGCAGCCTCCTATTCATCGTCTCAGAAAGAAACACAAGTCCTAGGCGATGTTTCTGACACATCTCTGTAAGGCGTCGAATTGTGAGGTCGCTTCCAATCCCTCGACAGTTCCAACTGATTGTCCTTATGAATGACGGTGGGATGGGTTTTTGGAACCCATCAAACCATCACATGTGGAGGACGCTTCTCTTATCCTCAGCGATCCTTGCCGAGTGTGTTTCCTAGAATTTCCAGTATCCTTGGAGACAGACTTTGATCTTCTGCTAGGAGAACCCCTACGAAGGAACTTATATTTTTTATTTTTAATGCCCAAAGGGACATTTGACTCTCCACCATGCCTTCTACGTCGGGTCGATTTCTTCGCAGATGTTGACTCCATGTTTCCTGCACAAGTAGCTTACAAAGTGGTGTTCTTTTCCTCTGATTCCATAAGCTCCTCTCCTAGTAAATCATCCTCATTAATCTCATCCTCATTGAGTCCATACTCCATCAGACCATCACCTTGTTGCTCTACTGTATCCAGGTCGTTTAACGCACCTATCATTTGAGTTTTAGCAACTCCCTTGTTTCGGATTGTTACGTAACTCTCCAGCATTTTATCGTCAGCCGTTTGTGTAACAATCACACTTGCTAGTCTTTTGTGATCACCACTAGTAGCATCCTGACGTGCTTCCGATTTCCGGCCACACTTATCTTTAGAACCGTGATTTGGAGAAGAAGATGTGTGTCCATATGAGACCACAGCAAGAGCATTGTTGCGCGTACTCGAGGCTTTCTCAACTCCATCATGAGCACTGCTTCTCGACTTTTCTCTCCATAACTGCTCATTCTTCCGGTCATAGGGGCCTGAAAGATGGCGCGTTCCTCTATTTTTAATGCTCCTATATCGTTCATCGTGGCGTCTTCTTACCCTATCAGAATGATCGCTCCTACGTCCATGAACATCTGGATAAAGATATCTGGAAGCCTCATGCTCATGGTGAGTCCCTCTACTCTCCTGTCCGGAGGTGGACGAAGATCCACCACGAGAATACATGTTGTGTCTCAGTGGCTGTCGTTGTTGATGGTCATGCTTCGTAGAAGGTGGATCCAATGGTAGGCTCTGCACACGTGAGAAAACTCCCGCGCTGTCCATAGGCAGCTGCAGTCGGGATTATATATCGTGTGATGGACAATAGGCCTTCTCATGGGAAAGCATTCCACAAGTTTCACAGTGTTTGAATAGCTTGTCATACTTTATTTCAATGGTGAAATCTTCACCATCAGCCGTTTCGACCTTTCTTGAGAATTTCAGAGGCTTCCGCGAATCTATTTCTATGAGCATGCGCCCCTCAGATAGCTCTAATGTATCAACATAACCAAGTCATCGCCCAACATCTCTAAGTTTTCTATCAGTCCATAGATGAAGTGGGAAACCAGTCACCTGCACCCAGAATGGGATTATCCATGGATAGTCGTCGTGGACAATCGGTTCCCATCGAACGAGAACAAACATGCAGAAATTATAATGGAATGGACCCTGTCTAGGAACATAATTTAGGTCCCCTTCGGAAGTGAAGTTCAAAAGAAACTTTCCATTCCCTAAGTCGTTAGCAGTGATTTTATCCTTCATCCCCCACTGAGCTGGCATAGTCTGAATGAGCTTCTCAACCTTTTGTTTCTTCGGATTGAGTATCTTACCGATCATAGATAATAAGAATTCTTTGATGACATTTGCATCCTCGTGGTTCGACAGCTTGATGGGTGCATCATCATCCTCTTCCTCGAGAGTATTCTTGCCTCTTACATCCGTTAGACGAGCAGATATGGGTTTATACTTCGTCCCCATCCCCCCCTTAGTATATGTGAGTCCAAGCAAAGGCAATGACCACACAAAGCTTCTATTTATCGTGTACCACAATAAAAGCAAAAAACCAAGGTATTATTAGATTCCCGTAGTAAAGCCAGAGATTAAAACACCAAGGTAGGACACCGTGTGGTAAAGGACTCAATACATCAATGAATGTATTAAAGAGGATCTCAGTAATAGGTGAATCCGAGATCTGAAAACCGGAGGTGTTGCTTGTGGAGTACGACAACTGGATAAACAAAGAACAGTAAGCAACAGATCCAACACAAGAGGTGCCAAGGGTCACTCAGATACGTGTATCTGTGAGATCACCAAAGAGTGAGTCAGACAGGAACAATGATCACCAAAGGGTGAGTCAATCAGATACGTGTGTTGTGTATCCTCATATCATCTTTATTATCGAACCAAATCACGTCGAGTTTTCCAGAAGATTGAGTGAATTCGATCCGACACCAGCAGGCGAGAATAGCGACTGAAACGTAGGCCTGTGTGATCACCAAAGAGTGAATCAAATAGAGACAAAGGACGCCTCTTCTGCAATCTCTAGATCGCCTCCATGATCTCCTCCATAGCGGCTAGGGTTTATTTTTGTAAAATACTCTCCAAAGTATTGTGATCATAGCGGCTAGGGTTTATTTTTGTAAAATACTCTCCAAAGTATTGTGATCAATATATTAGGAAGGCGATAACGTAGGGAAAAATCATTTTAAAAGTTTCTTTTTACATTTAGTTATATATGGGTGGGTGATCCTAAATTGATGTGGTTGGATCAGTAATTATACTAACTCATTAAGGTTTTTAGGGTTAACCACATTTTGGTTCCAACAGAAAATAAAATAAAAAATGAATTTTAGAAGGGGATATAATAGAATTTTATAAGAGGAAGTTAATTAGATTTTTCTTTTCTTGGTTCAACTTTAACGGGTGAATTAGATTAAAGTCCAGGCCGGAGGGGCTTTTAATATTTATCAAAATATTTTATTTTATTTTATTTTGGTGTCTGGCAACTTCGAGAGCATTTAAGTTAGGGGAGATCGTTAGAATAAATATTAGAAGTTGAAACCGAGAAAATAGGAAGAGAAAGAGGGGTTTGGTCACTGAAATCTGTTCAGTAGTAGATAATGGAAGAAATCAGATCGGCGATGGAGCAGCAGATGGATCTGATGGCGGATCTGGTCCAGAAGCTCTCGGGTGAGCTCCGAACCGGATTACAACCTGCCTACGAAAATTTCATTGGATTTTTCCACGCCATCGATTGGAAGGTAAATGGGTCTGTTTGGTCTTAGTAATTTTGAATCAGCAGTTGTCGGTATCATTGGGTTTCTTTTGGTTTTGATTTTAATGTTTTTCTTTATAAACTACTTGAGCAGGAACCATGGATAATAGGATTAATGGCGTTTCATGCTCTATTTCTAATGGTTACTCTTCTTTCCAGAAGGCACCTCAACTTCCATATGTTCCTCTTCTTATTCTCATGTAAGTGTCAATTAATCTCACATTTTTCTTGGAATGAAATTATTTTGATTTTTGTAATCGTATTCATCTCTTCTATGATTGGTACTTAGTTACAGGTCTGTTATGCTAGGTTCGTTATAGTTGAGATTATTGAAGTTTATACTATTATTATCTTCTTTCTAAACACTGATCTTTGTTCTGTCCAACGATAGGGTTGCAGTATTCATATTGTGACTTGGGTTTCTACACATCTGGCGTTGAAGCTCTAGATATCTCTTCCGTTTAGACTAGCTTTTTACAATCAACAACCTGCTACAGATTGAGTACAAATTTTTATTTGGCCATCTTCAGGTTCATGGTTTGATTTGCTAGGAAAGTCTCGGATCTGGTGAAAAGAAAATATGTTATCCATTTAAAGCCATGATGTTAATGACTGGCATCTCCTTGGCTTTACTGTTTTCTAGTTGTTCGAGTAGTTTTTCTTAGTACATGTTATTGATAATGATGACCAAAACAATTGCAGTGTGTGGAGTGTACTTTGCAGAGAGTCTCAACCGAGTCTTGAGGAAAAACTGGAAGAGCTTCTCTACTCAAAACTACTTTGACCCACACGGAGTCTTCCTCTCGGTTCTCTGGTCTGGACCACTTCTGGTCATTGCAATGATAATCCTGGTAATGCCGCAATCTAACTATTTTCATGAACCATATTTGTTCCCAAGTACATCCACCATTTAGATCATCCGAAAAACACAAGAGACTTATAAAACATACGTTAACTTAAATGACCATTGTAAGTAACTGAGAGTTGGGGGATTTGTTTCTTGTTGAGTTGACAAGAGTGATGATATATATGTAGTGAGTTTTAGGCATGCTTTTGTATATAAATCATTCACATGGAATATTATCTGATGGAGTTTTTTTTTGGTTGACAGATAAACACACTCTTTTCGCTTTGCTACCTGATTGTAAAATGGAAAAGAGCTGAGCTCAGGCATCGTGCAAGGCTTGCTCGCTCCAAGCAAGAATAGATCCTAAAGCTCTCTCTTATCAGCATATCCTCTTTTTATACTCTCACCTTGCAACAAATTGTTTTCTATTTGACTATTGTATTTTCTTTGGAATTGAACGAACCAAACTAGAGTAAACCAAGCCTGATTACTTTTTTTGGTAAAGTTTGAAACACGGAAATGAAACTAGAGAACTTGAAGAATTCAAGTCCCTAACTGGTATTTAAATCGACGATTAACCATAAACCACGGATTGATTCAAAGCAGTCTTGAAAACTCCTTAAACGTATTGTTCATTAAGTTTGATTAATTGGTTAAGCAACTTTGAAGTAAAATAAATAGAGGTGACGCAGTCAGCCGGTAGAGTAAATAGAGATCCTCCTCTTCGAAACCACGAAGGGAGAGTGAGAAGGTCACCAGGAGTACTACTGAAGTTTCCATATCTCTTAGAACATCTCCAAAAGTATATTATTTGGAAGTTTGTAAAACTTCATATTTCAAGTTCAAAGGTGTTCCTTTTCTGATGAAATGTGTTCTTCAAAAACAAAGTTTCAAACTTTATTTCAAAACTATTTACATTTTATAGTTCTTATATTTTGTTATAGCTATTCTAAATCTGTAAACGTTTATAAATAACTAACACACATATATATAAATTAGGGTCGGCATGTTCTACGGGCGGAATATATTTTACTTGTGATCTAAATTATTATTTTTATATAATTTGATGGTTTGTATTTTAGATTCACTTTGTAAGAAGTGTGTATGAGATATAATATTTTATTAATTTAAGTTGTTTGTTTGTAAGTAATTTTTGTTTTGACTTTTTGCTTCTATAGCATCACCATAATTGAATTGTTATATGATTCTCAGCTGAATAATATGTATCTAACAATTAATTTATATTACTCTTTCTGAGATTGTCGCCTGTCGTAAGACATTTCCATAGTTATTCACAAAATAAATCTCAACTTTGGTGAAAAAATGGCAATCAAAACATTAGCCATCCAGTTGGATTGGAAATGGTGTTCCTGGATTGAGAATGTTGTTAGAAACAATATGAGCATCTTTGAACCATTTCTTGCTTAATGTTAACTATTAAACATAGGATTTCAGATTATAGGGGGAGAAATTCATAATTGTTTCTATGTTTCATTTGAGATCAGCTACCAAGAAGTTTTTGTTGTCAAGATTTGGAGGACCCAATTGTAAATTGGTTCTAATTGTATTTTCATTACGGAAGTACTAATCTTTTTCATGATTTGTAGAGAATTTAAATCTATTTATATAGTGTAAACTATGTATTTATTTTGCACAATTGTGTTTATTTTTTATTAGTCAAATATTGTTGTAAAGAAATTTTCATTTTTAGTCATTCTAGTTTTTTTAACTTTTATTTATATAGGTTAGAAAAATATTTACAGCCAAATAAATTGAAACATAATCTCTTATAATATTTCAACAACATGACATAAATCTATGTTTTGACACATAAATACTTACCATCAATTAGCATAGTTAGTTTTCTGTTATTTACTTGATTTAGTTTTTTTTTATATATAAAATATGATTCTAATAATGAACATTGAGAAGCTATGGATTATCAGCGGTAAGATACATTTATGATATAACATTTTTTTATTTACAAATATATGGTTACATAGTATGAATGAATTATTATTTTTATGATTACTTATTTTTCTTTTATTCTTCTATTTGATTTGACATGATTTATATTACGGTATCCAACTTCCATCTCGTCTCATTGCAGTTAACTAAAGTTTTTTTTTTTTTTTTTTTTTTGACAACGGACGGCTGATCTATTACTCAAGCTTGAGGTGGCCTGGGAATCCAGACCGGAATAGAACAACCTACATACATGAGCTCCCGATAAAAGGATCGGGCAGTCTTAGCTAAGTGATCGGATACAGTATTTGAAACGCGAGGCACATAAGAAATCTTAAAGGCTGGAAAGCAAATCCTCAACGTCGAAATCCTCTCCAGTTCTGTCGAGAAGCTTGGCCATCCATGGGGATCCTTAAGCATTGCTAACAACTCCTTGCAGTCCGTCCCGAAACTCTGACATGGCGAATGTTGAAGCATGTTCTCCATTGCCCACCGCAGCGCCTCCAACTCAGAATGCAAAGCCGATTCCACTCTACTCACATTGCGCATCCCCATCAGCTGACTGATTCCCATACTGTCCTTCCAATCCCATCCACACCCGGAGAACTGGTCTATAGAGGTCCAGGAACCATCTATCATGCATATATCTTGTAGACTTACGATCTGACATTCATTATCGCTGTTCTCTTGTGTAATCTCAACCTCTTTCTCATTGGCTTGGAACCAGGCAAGACACTCACTCTCAGCATACCTAGCCAATTCCAAAGGATCCCTGTCTATTCCTCTGAACAACTTATCATTTCGGGCTTTCCAAATGTACCATATCAGCCAAGGATAAGGATCCTTTTCAATAGCTGGCCCACAAATGGCCTTCTTTCGCCAGAATAGATAATCCATATTCGCATATGTGCTCTCCAAAGGGAACAGCGACGGGCTGGTAGGTATAGATGCTAAGGCCCATACCTGTAGAGCCGGTGGACATTGGAAAATCGCATGTGCAATTGTTTCCTCTGGTTCTCCACATCGTGGACAGTAATTATCACATCGCATGCGTCTATGATTCAGCGCACTCGTAACAGCCACCTGTCCTGAAATAATCTGCCACATAAGATGACACATCTTCGTAGGAGCTTTGACCTTCCACACCTGTGCTTGGAGTCTTTTAATACTAGGTTCGTCTACCATATCCTCTTCCTCTTTCATTAATACATTCCTGGCTACCCAGTAACCTGACTTAACTGTGTACTGTCCACTCCTTGTGTAGCTCCAGCAGTATGTGTCTCTGCGATGGGATGAACTCAATGCCAAACTCCTTATGAGAGGTATATCGGCAGATTCTACATAGTTTGCCAGCCGTTCCAGATCCCAGGACTTAGTTTCTTGGTTGATAAGGTCACTCACTCTCATATTCGGATTTAGTACCGGAGCTGATGTATGTGCTGGTCTTGCCGGGATGGTGGGGATCCAAGGATCCTCCCAAACCTTGACTTCATAACCTGAATGGATCTTCTGTCTAATCCCCAATAGCAGTAATTCTCGTGCAGCCGAAATGCTTGTCCACACATATGATGGACTACTAACAGTGAGCTCTCGCAAAGGCGAACTTAGCCGATAATATCTCCCTCTCATAACACGAGCTACCAAGGAATCTGGGTTTTGGGCCAGTCTCCACAACTGCTTTGCTAGTAATGCCAGGTTGAACTCATGAATCATCCTGAAGCCAATCCCTCCATCCTCCTTAGATAGACATAGCTTATCCCATGTTGTCCAGTGTAAGCCTTTCTTTGGTGGGTTTGAACTCCACCAAAACTGTGCAATGGCACTTGCTAAGGCATCACAAATCTCCAATGGGAGCAAAAAACAAGACATAACATATGTTGGGAGAGCTAGTAGGATTGACTTTATCATTACTTCCTTTCCACCTTTAGATAACCACCTGCCCGTCCATCCATTCACTCTATGCCTAAGTTTGTCTTTTAAGAAGGCAAACAACTTACACTTTGAGCCACTAATATCCTCTGGTATTCCAAGGTAAGTCCCCATTCCTGCTTCATTCTGGATCCCAAGTGTATCCTTAATCTCCTGCCTGGCTTCTTGACTGATCCTCTTCCCAAAGAGTAAAGAAGACTTATCAAAGTTTATGCACTGTCCAGAGGCTTGTCCATATTTCCTCACCACTTTCATTACTTCTTCACATTCACGGGGCTCCGCCTTACAGAAGAAAAGGCTATCATCAGCAAAGAGAAGGTGGGATACCGAAGGACACGCACGTGTGATGCGCATCCCTGTTATCTTTCCCTGATTCTCTGCGTGATTAAGAAGGCTAACGAGCGCTTCCGTGCATAGAATAAAAATGAAAGGAGACAAAGGATCTCCCTGACGTAGACCTCTCTCCGGAACTATATTCCCTCTTGGTTGGCCATTCATGAGTACCTTGTATTTTACTGTTGTTACACATCGCATGATCCAGGTAATCCAGACATCTGAAAAACCCATCTTCCTCATGGTGGCTTCAATGAAAGACCATTCCATACGATCATATGCCTTACTCATATCTGTTTTAATGGCCATCCTCTTGTTACGCCCACTTGGTTTTGTTCTTAGAGCATGAAATAACTCCTGGGCTATCATTATGTTATCCGATATCTGTCGCCCAGCAACAAAGGCTGACTGGGTCTCCGAAATCCTATCTGGGAGGACCTTCTTAAGTCTTTGACATAAAACCTTGGAAATAATCTTGTAGCAGACGTTACAAAGACTAATGGGGCGTAGCTGGCTCATTTGATTTGGTTTTTCCACTTTTGGAATGAGGCATATGTTAGTGTCGTTTAGACCAGTCGGAATGATCCCTTGAAATAGGAAATCATTAACCATACGAGTTAAATCCTCCTTGACAATATCCCAGAAATTCTGATAAAACAGAGCTGTCATTCCGTCAGGTCCAGGAGCCTTCTCAGGATGCATGGCGAAAAGAGCTAATTTGACTTCCCACTCTGAAACCGGGCCCGTCAGACCCTCATTATCTGCCGGCGTAATTGTAGTAGTAACTTCAGATAAGGCCTCCTCAATCTCTTCCGGATTCGATGATTGAAAGATCTGTCGAAAGTAACTAGTAGCAATGGCTACCAGGCCTTCCTCATCCTCTACTACATTCCCATCAGCATCTAAAAGTTGGGTTATCCTGTTCCTCGCTCTTCGCTGCTTCGTTAAAGCATGGAAAAATTTAGTGTTCCTATCTCCCTCCCTTAACCAGAATACTCTACATTTCTGTTTCCAGAATAACTCCTCTGCCTTAAGGGCATCAGATAATTCCTTTAGAGCCGCCGCTATCTCCTCTGTAGTGGCATCATCATTAGAAGATAAACGATCCACCTTTTCCTTTAGCTCCTCCACAGTTTTCTCTGAGTTCAGATTGTGTTGCCTCTTCCAATCACATAACGCCCGCCTGCAGCTCGTAATATGATCCATAATACTCGCATCCGGTGGTAGATCTGGTGATTTCCACCCTTCAAGTATAATCTGTCTGAGTTCCTCATGCTGAAGCCATCTCTTATCAAATTTGAAATTTTTCGATCTTCGTGGCTT